TGTGTGTGTGTGTGTGTGTGTGTGTGTGTGTGTGTGTGTGTGTCTCACCTCAGGGTCACTGCTGGGGTAGATGGTCCATCTCAGATCAGACGTTTCTAGCTTTGTGTTCATCAGCACCTCTGTGAGATAGACAGAGAGAGAGAGCCAGACAGGTTTACAGCAGCTGTATAACACCATCTGATGAGAAACTCATGTGCGGTTTAGTTTGGACGACAGTAAAACACTCACAAATATACATACACACATTAATCAGACATCATAATCATAATCAAAGCCATGAGGTGGTTACATGATCAGAGCTTCATAACTCACTGCCTTCAACTGCTGAAGTAATTTTGATGTGACATCACAGTGTTCTTTCATAAAATTCAACTTGTTTCCAACTTGTAATTACGAGACAAAGACAAGAACGGTTTTTACAAGACGGAAACTCATAATTACATTGAATGTGACACGGCGTAAATGCAGCATTACTGTGGCTTTGATTTCAGACAAATTTAATTCAGTGTGATGTGTTTAGGATGAGTTTTTGCTCTAAATTACTGCACAGGCGTCTGGTGGAGGAACACTAATGCTGTGAAAACAGAGCGCTAGCAATCAACGCCCAGTTTAACATCTGAACCTATAAAACCTTCCAGCTCTTTCCATTTCATCTGTCATGATTAAAACGACAGTGAGTTCAGCGACTGCTGCTGCTTTACACAAAGAAGAGGAAGACCGAGGGAGGAGCGGGAAATGTCCCAGCTTTCTGTCTGTCTGTCTCTACTCCATTGTTTCCAGTGAAAACACAATGATACCCAGGAGGCAGTTCAGAGCCAAAAAAGTGATCGAGTGACATTTTCATTTATTACACACACACACACACACACACACAGGAGGGCTGGCAGAATTCCTGCTCATTCCAGAGTGTCCATGGAGCGGAACAGCAAAATTACAGCTCGCACTGGACACACACACTCACACACACCTCTAATCAACTCATCGCTAATTACAGAGTGAGACTGACAGAATGAGAGAGAACTTGAAGAAGATCCAGCAGTTCACACACACACACACACACACACACACACACACACACAAACATACACACAAATAAATGTGTGTGAAAGAGAAAATAAATCAAACAGATTCTCTGCTGTTTAGTATGACATATATACTATTATAGTCTTTTATTAATATTTTGAATTATCTTTTATTTTTAGTTTTATCTTTTATTTTCAGTTTTCATTTAAATTTTACTTAAATTTTTAGTAATTTTGTTATGTGCTTTTTACATTTTTATTAGTTTTTGTTCTTTTTAAATAATATAAATTAGGTTTAATATATTTTTATTTCAGTTTTACTTTTAATTTTGGCCTATGTGTTCAGTAGGGCTGCCACTAACGACTATTTTTATTTCTATTAAACTATCGACTAATTTATTGAATAATCGATTCATCTAAACGAATAATTTCCCACAAAAAATTTACCTCATACGTCATCCGCCCAGAGCTGCTTCTGTTTACAACAGTGAGCGCAAGCTAGATATCAAAGACCGTTTTTAATGTAACTCCGACTGGATTCATCTGAAAGAAAAGTCATATACACCTAGGATGCCTTGAGGGTGAGTAAAACGCAGCCTAAATTTCATTTTTGGGTGAACTAACCCTTTAAGAACATTTTATTAAACTATATTTTATTAAACCAAACGAAATCCAAATTTCTATGAAATCCTTTTTTTAAAGTAAAAGTAAAGAGCAACATAGAGTGCAAGAAGCAAGTGTCCAGATCACTGAAATCAGAGCTCGGTATTATAGTGTAAGAATGACAACATGTCCACGTGTTCTGGTCTACTAATAATACAATTATAAGCAAAAAACACTTTTTAAAGGAGTATTTACCAAAATTTATTTAGAGAAAAATGTAAATGTGCAGTATTTCTGAATTTTCAAACATTTGGTAAAGATAAAACTGTAAAACTCAATTAATTAGACAGACTTTTTGATTAACAAAATTTAATTTAACCATTCAAACAAAGTATAGAAAAATGAAAATGGAAAAAACCTGAATTTGGAAATAAAACAGATTTCATAGTGCCCTATAATTATAATTAATTTTTTGTGGTAATAAAAATAGATGTAAGTGAACAATAGCCTTTAAAATTACTTAAAATACATATATAATAGCAATGAGGCAATAATAATTAGTTCAAATAAAGTATCAAAAGCAAGAAATCATATAATTTTATTGAACAAAACTGTTAAAATACATAATGTATTATAAACAATATAATGTACAGTACACATTACAACAAAGGCCTGCAGAGGGCGCCAACAGCCAGATGATTGTTTTTACACATTACTGTGCGATCTAATCTGTTTAATATTAACCAAGCACCATTTCATTCAAATGTCCACTTAATCTTTAATATTTGGCCATTTGTTTAGGACAGAAACGCTATAGCCACTGTAACTAAATGAATATGTGGACATCAAAACGTGTAAACTCAGAGTGAGGGTTTGAGCTTTTATTTTGAAACCGCGA